TTTTTCAGAAATAACATACTGCCATGTTCAACATCTGCATGCAATCACAACAAAAAACTTTAAAAAAAAAACCCTTTCAATTCAAACTTTTTGCAGAACATACACCACCTACACATACCCCCAAAAACACTTACAGAAATACAAAATTCTCAAAAAAAACCCTTCTAAAACCACAAACATTATTTAAGTATGGCAGTACGGCAGCTGAGCCCTACAGACACCATTTCTTCCCTCACTGGATGCACAAAGGACTGTACAAAAAGTTCTAGCTTTGTTGTTTCTTGACTTGGGTTTCAGTGGCAAGGTTTTGGTAGTGGGAGCAGGGGCTACAGAGGTGGCTCCTATGAGAAGCTACTAGAAGCTTCCCTGGCTTCAAGTCAGACCCGCCTTTGGCCAAGGCTGAGCCACTCAGCAATGATGGATCCACCTCCATGAGAACTGATTTAAGAGGGGTGCAGCACATGGGAGAAGATGGGGTGGCCCCAGACCAGCCACCCCAGCACTGGGAGCTCTTGAGGAGCCACAGAATAAACCTGCAATGAAGAGAGGAGTAGGACGTTAAAGAAAGAACTACACACACACACTAAGGTCTGTGAAGAAAGGAGGAGGAGGAGGTCCACTGGAGCAAAGATTCCTCTGCAGCCTGTGGTGAGACAGCAGTTGTGCCCCTGCAGCCACGGAGGGTAACGGCAGAGCAGAGATCCACCTGCAGCCCGTGGAGGACCCCACACCAGAGGAGGTGGTTGTGCCCAAAGGACATCATGACTCTGTGGGAAGGACCCACGCTGGAGAGATCAGTGAAGAACTGCAGCCTGCAGGAAGGACACACATTGGAGAAGTTTATGGAGTACTGTCTCCGGTGGGAGGGACCCCATGCTAGACCAGGTGAGAAGTGGGAGTACTCCTCCCCTGGAGGAGAACAGGGTGGCAAAAATATGTGATGAACTGACCATAACCCTCATTCCCTGTTCCCCTAATCTCCCTTGTCTTTGTCTTAACCTCTAAGGTTTTATCTTTTCTTCTTCTGATTCTCGTTCCCACCCCAACACAGTGGGCGGAGTAAATGAGCAGCTGTGTGGTGCCTATTGCCAGCTGGGCTTAAACCATGACTTTTCTGTAGACCAAAACTGTCTACTGCAGGTGTTTTTGCACAACGTTAACATTATTTAAGTATTTTGTACACTGCAAAGAAAGCAAATGGTATCCTGGACGGCATTAGACAAAGTGTTCCCAGGAGGTGGAAGGAGGTGATTCTTCTCCTCAGGTGAGGCCACACCTGGAGTACTGGGTCCAATTCTGCACTCCCCAATACAAGGAACACATGGACATACTAGAAAGAGTCCAACAAAGCGTCATAAAGATGATTATGGGACTTGAGCATCTCTCCTGGGAGGAGAGCCTGAGAGAGCTGTGACTGTTCAGCCTGGAGAAGAGAAGGCTCATGACACACCTCACAAATGTCTACAAATACCATAGAATCATAGAATGGTTTGGGCTGGAAAGGACCTCAAAGATCACCAAGTTCCAACCCCCCTGCCATGGGCAGGGACACCTCCCACTAGCCCAGGTTGCTCAAAGCCTCATCCAGCCTGGCCTTGAACCCCTCCAGGGATGGGCATCCACAGCTTCTCTGGGCAACCTGGGCCACTGCCTCA